ATTTCTGTGAAATTCTTTCAAAATGCTACTCCTCCTACAGTTTTAGTCTGATTTCAATATAACTTGGCACACAAGTAGACTACACTAAGATACAGAATTCTTTGTATCGGTTTTTGATTTTGATGAACGGTGTTGCCGTGGTTATTAAAAATAGAAATTTCTGTGAAATTCTTTCAAAATGCTACTCCTCCTACAGTTTTAGTCTGATTTCAATATAACTTGGCACACAAGTAGACTACACTAAGATACACAATTCTGTGTATCGGTTTTTGATTTCGATGAACGGTGTTGCCGTGGTTACTAAAAATAGAAATTTCTGTGAAATTCTTTCAAAATGCTACTCCTTCTACAGTTTTAGTCTGATTTCAGTATAACTTGGCACACAAGTAATCTACAATAAGATACATAATTCTGTATATCGGTTTTTGATTTCGATGAACGGTGTTGCCGTGGTTACTAAAAATAGAAATTTCTGTGAAATTCTTTCAAAATGCTACTCCAAATACAATTTTAGTCTGATTATAATATAAATGTGGCATGCAAGTAGACTGCACTAAGAACATATAGAGACTTAATTAAGGATCATTATTCTATTTATTGCTGTTGAAAAGTTTCAATTTCCAACTGCTTAAGTACTTTTCTCTTCCTTTGCTATAAGTACAAACCAGTAGAGCTTCAGTCTCGACAGAGACTTCTGGTTGTATTTATATAATACAAATTTTTTTTCAAAATCTTAAACGTGAAAAGAAGAAAACACTTCCTGTGGCCTTTATCATTCATATTTTGACAGGATATATGTCGGTGAGTTTGAAAGTGAAAGACACCACAGAGTCACATAAATACAAGTAGATACTAAATATCAAATGTAATATTCATTTTTCTCTCATTCGCACACATTTTTAGTTCATTAATCTGGATGAAATTGATTCAGAGCTGCAGATCGTCTTTTAATCGAATTCGTGTTTGAAATACGTATCTGTTTCTCAGTCGATAAATACCCAATTAAATTCCAGTCTCGAATTGGAGAAAAGAAAGCTTTTCTAAATATATCCTTCTTATGCATTTTCACCGTCTTGATAGTTTCCGTAATCGGGCTAGCAGACAGTGTTAAAGCTTGGCAAATGATTTTTACATTATGTGAATTCTGTTATATCAGAGAAGATCATTAACTATTTAAGCTTAGCTCAAATTTTACGGTCATAAAAGTTCAGTCGATTTAGCTTCTTATGTCACATGCAAAACAGACTGCAAAGCATGCTTAGTTTGATTAAAGCAACAATATTTTTTTTTAAAAATAAGGGAAGATAACGCTTCAAGTACTTTACTTCAAGACCATTTCCTCACAAATTTAATCAAGATATCGGTTTGCTAACCTTTCTGAAATCAAAATACACACATATCGAACAATCTAGGCAAATTTTGTTTTAAAAAATGAAAACAAAGAAAGAAAATGGGCGAACAATGTGAGCAAAATGTCATGTGTGTCAAACAAGAATTGATTGCTTGTATGATGTTTAAAGTCCCTCGAGAATTTTCCACTCATATGGAGACGTCCACCACTTGTCGGTGGAAAGCTACAAATTTTGTCCTATACTCTGCAATCAGGGCCATTGAGCCTAGAGGGATCTTTTTCGTGCCAGCACCTACTGTGACACGGGACCTCGGGTCTCTTCCGAAGGACCGGTCTCCACATCCCATAGTGGGATTCGAAACCGCGACGTAAGGATTGACTCTATACTTCGCGACTTTACCGCAGACGCTGTAACTACTGTAAAACGCGGGCGACGTCAAACAGGGAAATAAAAACAATATTTCAATAATTTTTAATTATATCAAATAAAATTAATGTAAACTTTTTAAAATAAAAATCTCTATAAGGGGACGACCATTTGATTCTGAGGGGGGGGGGGGGGGGGGGGGGGGGGGGGGGGCGGGTGGCAGATTTTGGAAATGAATAATCTGTCCCTGAAAATATTGAAAATAAATAATCTTTCCTCCACTACAGAGAAAATAAATAATCTGACCTTGACTTATGACATTTAAATATTGTGAAAAATACCTTTTTTCTTAACATGTAATTTAATCTCAAAAGTCTTCAATTCAAAAAATTTTTTGGCTCGCTTCGCTCGCCATTTTAGAACCAAATAGTATTTAAAATCAGATTACCAGACTGGATACTTAGTCAGTTTGTCAGAGTGACATTGTGCACTTAGTAGGTGTGATGAATAACAGTACTTTAAATACAAGCCAATTCTTATACACCACAAAAGATAAATTTTCTTGTCGAAGAATTACACTTCCCCGATAAATTAATACAAAATATACACTGGTGGATTTAAGTGGGACGTACATGTGTACAACCCCTCCCCTAAAATTTCAAAGTATGAAACGAATAATAATAATAATGCCATACTTAGGGACAATACCAATATTTTAGTACCTAGTTTTACTCTTAAAATACACAAAAACTGAAGAGCTTTAGGGGGCTTTGCCCACTGGGCCCTTATCATCAAGGTATGATATGACTAGTATTAATAATGTCATACTTTGGTACATATCTAACCAATTCCTACACAATTGTGTCTGGTTTTACTCTTTTACATACAGAAAAACCCAAGAACTTCAGGGGTCTTCGCCCCCTGAACCCCCTTCATTCAAAGTATGGTATGACCAGTATTAATTTTATCATACTTTGGTTCATAATAACCAATACCACTATAATAGTGCCTGGTTTTACTCTTAAATTACAACCCAAAAGCTTCAGGGGGGGGGGGGTACTCCCTTGGCCTCATCCAGGGCTTCGCCCAGGACCTGGGGGCCTTACGGCAGCCCCAAACCTCTTGCCTAAACGAAGTTATACACGCCCCTCCCCAAATCCTGTATCTGCCTATGGTATATAAATGATTAGTCTTTTAGAATCAATTGATCACAGTACGGGAAGACAAAGAAGAAAATAAATAATCTGTCCTTGATAATCTTGAAAATAAATAATCTGTCCTCGACAGGCATGAAAATAAATAATCCGTCTCAAAAAAATTTGCCAGGCCCCCCCCCCCCTCAGGATCAAATGGTCGTCCCCTAATTCGCAACAATCTGAAACATTGAAATTATAATCTTCGAAATAATATATACACAAAAGAGAACTTTCCCATATGGATTGATATTTGCTCCATATTTTTTTTTTTTTACAAAAAAGATTGTACTCAAAGTAAGTGCAAAACTATTTATATTTTAGTTAACAATACATGGAGGGAGCATCGAGTTTTCTTTATCCTTGAAAAATACACTTTTTATTATACACCGTCGTATTTAACTGAAAATATTTGATTTCCATTTAATCAAGTATAACTACAGTATAATGCCTCTCGTTTGTCACGATCTGTGTAGCGTATAGAAGTTAGTAAGTTGGTCACCATGAAAAACAAACTCGACACTGTAGAAATTAATATTACTACTTGGGTTCGAACCAACCAAGAAGACTGTTAATTCTTTATTTTAGGTGAATACTTAATACCCCGGATATCGTGAAATGGCTCTTAGAGATCAAGTCACGAGAACAATATTAGTAATTAGCGAGTGAACAGTTAATTATAAGAAATTTTGCATGAATTTAGCGGCATAAAAATTAAAATGAGTTTTTATTAAAGGTGCTTCTATAAGCGATAATTATTTCTTCACGTACATTAATTAGGAAATCTACAGTGATTCAATTTTTAAGCTTGGAGATTGATAAATTTAGCTGAAAAAATCCTTTTGAAAAGTTTGTAACGAATTTATGTATTTCAACTATAAAAATACTTTATATAATTCACAAATGGAATATGATATACATTAGATTTTGTATGCTATTCTCACGCCTTGTTCATCCTTTTCTTTTCTTTCACAATTTATACTAGAAAAACGTGTTGAAATTTATACATTTATATGTATCCGCGTTATAAATGCATATACCGAATATAGGGTGCATGCTTTTCTGAGTCGGTGATTTTTCTTTCAAACGAAAAATTTATATTTTAATATTGATAAAAAATTATTTGTGCCAGTATTTTCACAGGACTCTCGTTGAGTTCCGATACCATATGGAACGAAATCTGTGTACATGTCTTTTTAATCCCAAAGCATTTCTGTAACATAAATTACGAATTTCTCCGATAGATGTATTAACATTGTAAGTTTCTCCTTTAGCATTCCTCTGTTTCTGTTGTCTTTTAAGGATCAATATTTAATTTGCGATGATTTAGAAAAATGATTAAAATTTTCCATGATGAAAATATATAATTGCACAAACAAACGGAAATTCGGTATGACGTACACTGTAATCAACTGAAAGAGTAAACTTAATTACATTAATAGGCCTTTTACACTTTCCGCTTCTGCTTTCTCCTACATATATGAAAAAAAAATCGGAAAAAGACGAAAGAGTAATAATACTACATGTAATTTATTGAATGCCTGAAAAGGGGAATCGTCAGTAAATCTGATAAAATATAAGATGCACCAAGGACTCCAATCCCCCAAATCCTTAAAGACCTAACAAGACAACTGGTAACCGGTTTATTTACTGTATACCGTACATAGCTCGAACAAATACATCTATATCAAAGTGGTATGAATAATAAAGGTTATAATTTTTCAATGTATTAATTATTAATTTTACAAAATTTGATGAGAACTATAGATTATCAGTGGATTGTTTTCCCCTAAGATGTTATTATTTATTCATACACTATTATCTAAGGATCGTTATCACGATGTTTTAAATGGAATCTGTTACGGTTTGCTACAATATTGTACATTAAACAAAGTTACTGTAATAAGAAGGGCTTGCAGTGAATGCATTGCATTTTTTTCCACCTCTGAATCAAATCAATAGGATAAGATAGAAACACAATAAATCAGCTCTAATGTGAAAAAAGAATACAGCAGGCAGTAAACTGAAATATTATTGCACCACATTATAAATAATCTATGTGAATGTATCATTGACATTCTAATTACAGAGGAAGAGTGCGATCCTTCGTTCGAGAAACTCATTATAGACGCAAGGTTGGTGAAAGTAAAATTACTATTATTAGCTTTTTTCTTTGAAATGTATAACATAAATATTACATAATTATACATGTACAAAAAAAAATAATGTGATTTTATTTTTGTCTTGGTATGTTGTTATATTCTTCAAACCTCGTATATTATATTTATCTTTGTGTAAAAAATTGATTGAACAGCAAAATATCTTTATTGACGTCAATCCCAGCTAATTCTAGGAAAAAAGCATTCACAGGAGTGTTGAATTTTTCAAAGAATAATGCAATGTTGCAGAAGAAACCCTTTCCACAAAGGTCATACACTTTTTGATAGTTACATCTCAATGAGTAAAAAAGGCATACTAAATATCACAGGAGTTCGCGTACCTATCAATTATACCGAAATTTTCATTAAATAAAAAAAATACGTAATACATATATTATAGGTATTACGTATCTTTTTTATTTACCGAACATTTCCGCAAAATTGATAGGTACGCGAACTCCTGTGTAAATATTGAAAAACTGTAAAGAACTAGAGGTACCTTAAGCAATGAGCTCACTAAATGATACCCCCGCCTCCCATATGAATATAATAACAGTGTCCATGTTTTTTCAGTGGGAAACCCAAAATATGTGTCGGATCAAAAAGTAAAATAGTAGGTGCTCAATGGCATTATGTAAAAAAGTTTCTGTGAAAGTTTTATCAAATTTCGTTCAGTGTTATTAGAGGAGTTGCGGATAAGAGATGGGTACCCCAAAGCGTAACGGACGGACATACCGATTACTATATACCCTCCCGCTTTTTAAGCGGGGGGGTATAATAACGCGTATGGTGGTCATTAATTTTTTTTTTTTTTTACCTTTTTGAAAAGTAAATTACACATACTTAATTTTGATATGTTTCCACAATGCTATAAGGAACACCAAAGTCTGGTCATTTCGTCAAATTCATTTAAAAGAGAGAAAGAAAAGAAAAAAATCTTTGGTATAATTGTGTTTAATGTCACATTGCTCATGAACTTTTTTTGGTTGAAGAGTGATTTGCATTCGTATGTTTTACTACCTTGTGTTTTCTCTGAAATAACTGAGCCAGACGCATCTACTTGACGCAGAGATGTGCTCTAATGGAGGAAGTACGATAATTCTTCCAAAATCAATCTTATGAAATATATACATACTAGTATCTTGAAATTAAGATTTTTTAAAATAACATATACAAAAAAAAAATTGATATGAGAGGATTATTAAGGGATCTAAAGATAACATGAGTACAATACAAGACTATACAGGATTCATTCAGGCTGCTGTTAAGAAGAAAAGCAAACTAACAGACGAAGTTGTTGCCCAAGAAGAAAAGAGAAAAAGGACCTATAGGCTTGTTCAGACATCTTGTAAAGTTCTGGGTCATGAATGTCACACTTCGGTATATTAGATTGTTTGTTGTTTAACATCCATCTCTAGAATTTTTTCACTCATATGGAGACGCTACCACTTGCAAGTGGAGGGCTGCAAATTCTGAACTATACTCGAGGCCATTGAGCTGTGAGGGATCTTTTTCGTGCCAGTACCTTTCGCGACACAGAACCTCAGTTAATATGGTCTCATCCAAAAGACCGGTATCCATGTCTCGCAATGGGATTCGGACCCGCGACGTAAGGATCAACTCTCTAGATTAAACGCTCTAACCACTGTGCCACGCGGGCGACGGCAATATCCCAGTCATACGATTGTAAAGAGATTATAAACCGTATTCAAGTCCATTGAACCTATATAAATTAGGATCAGATCAAATACGGACATGCGAAGTTCGAATCATAGTCAGTTATAATCACATTTTTCAGCATGTTAAAGCTAGTGCACATTTTGACGTCATTGTACGAGGTCTTTTCCACTCAAGGAAATAAAACACATCAACAAAACGACGTCGGTTCAAGGGCATATACCATTTAATATTAAACAAGATTTGTTTGTGAAACACTGATGCCCCCCATGGCAGCTTATGGCGAGGGTTGAATTCTCTCAAATGCACGTCAAATTCAAAAGGTCAAAATTGTTGGTACCCAAAGGAAGGTCTCATTACAATGAATACCTCTGTGAAATATTAAAGCCCTAGTTCTAATTGTTCAAAAGTTATGACCAAGGTTAAAGTTTATAAAAAGTGGGTCAAACTCTTAGGTCAAGGTAAAAAAAATATTTAAACCTGGCAGCTGAAAGGTCTTGTCACAATAAATACACATTTGAAGTATGAAAGCCATAGCTCCAACTTTTCAAAAGTTATGGCCAAGGTTTAGTGTGGTAATTTGTAACAGTAAGTCAAACCCCAAGGTCAAATTTGGTGGTACCCAATTAAAGGTTTTGTTACAAGGAATGCATCTGTGAAATATGAAAGCCATAGCCCGACCTACTCAATAGTTATGGGCTAAGTTAAAATTGAAAACAGGCAGACAGACAGAACTAAAACAATATACCCTCGGGATCTTTCGATCCGGGAGCATAACTAATTTCTTATCAAGAAGGATTTACTAATCAGATTGATTGATTGTATATTGTTTAATGTCCCTCTGGAGAGAGAATTTTTCACTCATATGGAGACGCCACCACTCCAAATATTGTCCTATACTCGGCACTCAGGGCCATTGAGCAGTGAGGGATCCTTTTCGTGCGAGCACCTACTGCGGCACGGAACCTCGGTTTATACGGTCTCATCCAAAGGACCGGTCTCCACGTCTCACAGTGGAATTCGAACCCGCGACGTAAGGATCACCTCTTTACTTCGCGACTCTAGAGCAGACGCTCTAACCACTGCGCCACGCGGGCGACTATACTAATCGGAAGTCTCCATCGTTGAATAATTATGGGAAAAAGTAGCAGTTGGTCTTGAAACTTTGCAACAGCAATAAATAGAACAATGATCCTTGATCAAGATTGCAATTAGTATATAAAGAATATGCAATGATCCTTGATTAAGATTGCAATCAGTCATACTGCAGGTGGAGTAGCTTTTTGAAAGAATTTCACAGAATTCTTTTTACATTTGTTACCACAGCAACACTGTTCTTTGAAATCAAAAACCGATGTATAGAATTATATATCTTTAGACGTTTACTTGTGTTCTAAGTTATATGGAAATCCAATCAAAACTGACAAAGGAATATCGTTTTGTTTGCATTTAAATAAAACTTCTATTTTTAGCTCTCTCTCTCTCTCTGAGAACTTTTCACACACCACCCCTCGTTGAGCCATGCAGTCTTTCATAACTGTTTCTCAGTTTCACCTAGTCCACCCATCCAGTCTGATGTTTTCTTAAATGATTTAAGGAATCACTGTCTAATAAGTATAGTATGCCAGTGCATCAACGATAGTGGGAAACATGGGATAATTTGCATAGCCCGTTATGCAAAATTTATCCCGTGTTTCCCACAATCGTTGATGTCCCTGGCATACTTTACTAACTAGACAGTGATTTCTTATATTTCCATTTCCATTTCATTGTGAAATAAAATTGTAGATTTAGATTTTAAAAATGTAGACATATATTTCAATTACACGAGGACTCCCATGCCAATTCAGTATACATGCATATTTGGCCTACTCAGCGTGAGACACAAAGACATGCGCACGAGATTTGCATGCATATTAGGCCTCCTTAGCTCCTGACCTATCGACATGCCTAATTTACATTCCGGTAGAATTATCATGAAATCAACTCCGCTAACTTAAAAGAGTTATCACAGAGGAAAAAAAAATAGAAATGGAAATATTAAAGTATAAATGCCTCATTTGCAAGAAGGAATTTATTTGGTCGACACCTGACGATGAAATCAAGCTGACTAAATAATCGTAACAACCAAGCTATATGATAAACGTGATGGCTTTAACTTTTCTATCGTCAACTTCCCTTACTTATGCAGCAATCTACCTTCATCACCTGCATACGGAGTATATATATCTCAGTTGATTCGTTACGCAACAGCATGCTCTACGTATGAACAATTTCTAAAACGTGGTAAGTTATTGAAAAACAAATTTCTAAAACAATATCAGCAATCTTTTTAAAGTCATCATTTTGTAAGTTCTATGGTAGATACAATGACCTTGTCAGCAAATACAATTCATCATTTAGTCAAATGCTGATTGAAGTTTTTCATACCAATTGTTAGTCCATTATTTATACACTGAATTGACGACGGATTTTTCCGTTATTTCCTGATCATGACAAGGAGCACACGGCGGGTGTGACAAGTCAGCAGGGGATGCTCACTCCTTCATGGCACCTGATCCCACCTCTGATGTTTCGGAGGTCCGTGTTTGCTCTGCTCCTGTTTTGTACTGTTTTATGGACTTTGAGACTGAATATTGTTCGTTATCTCCACATCCTTCTACCGTTTAAACCGAGGTCCCGTGTCTCAGTAGGTGCTGGCACGAAAAAGATCTTTCCTTGCTCAATGGCCAAAACTTGTAGCTCTCCGTTGGGAAGTGGTGGCGTCTCTACATTGTACGAGGCTATATGAGTGAAAAAATCTCGAGAGGGACGTTAAACAGCATACAATTAATCCATCGGCAAGTGGTAGTATCTCGATCAGAGAGAAAAGTTCTCATAAGGACGTTAAGCAAGCATATAATTGTCATAATATAATTATATTAATGGATAGTGATATTTTTGGACATAAAATTGGTTAATTTACCCACACGAGATATTTGGAAAGTGTAGACTGGACGTCATATGACGTCATGCATGCGTGTATTTTTTATTACTTTTCAATAGGAGTTATAGTACATCTTTACTCTCTTTGTAACACAAATAGCTATCAGAGATGAAATAATTAATCCTTTTGCAATTGGAAATGACATGAAGTCGGCACGTGATTGCACGTTTTGAATGAATAACTCTGCAGACTTTCCCTGTATTTTATATAGAAAGAAATGTTCATTATGAAATATTTTGATAAGGAACATTGAATAATGTGCTGACAAGCATTTATGCTTTGAAAAATTAGGTCAGACAGACGAAGGTTTAACTAATCGATTCTCTTTGAAAAAATATGTACACAAACAATTGCCCTGAATATAAATTATTAATCAATATTCATTGTCATCTTTGTGGTAAAGTACGTAAACAAAGTAAAATTTTATTTTGGGTTTCTATGGGAAATTGCAAATTTTATAGAAGTGATATCAAATAAGATTTAAACTAACTTAAAGGTTATTTTAAATGTTATTAAATATTTAAAACGTTCAGTTTAACTGTCCTCACTCTTTCACAATTGCCTCATTCAGGAGCTACAAGACTAAAAAGCATTCTATCGAGATAATTGCTATACGGCTGTGTTTCATATACGATTCTTCCAGATTGGAGAAGGAAAAAAATCGGGAAAGGGGGTGGGGGGTTGGTGGGTTGTTAATCAGTGGCAGATTTTATTGAATAATATGGATTGTTCGTGCAAGATCTACTTGGTTTATACCCGAGGATGATTTTGAAAGATCAAAGTAATATGTTTTAGAAACATATTCAGACCTACATTGTTACTAGGACTTCATAGGTAGATTTCATGCTGTAAGCAGAATTTTCTTGTAGAATAACGTAGACAATAACACTTCAGAATATGATGATATGATCATATTGGTAACTTAGACAAGACTCAGATCAGTGTGAAAGTTATGAAAAATTCTTTCAAACAAAACTTTGTTCAATGTCCGTCCTTTCTGCAAAAGGGTTAGTATGTTTAAGATATAGTGCAGGCAAATATATCATGGTTATATTTAATCCATTCATAACCAATGTTTCTAAGTAAGAAATATGTAACATATTGAAAGAAAACTTAACAATTTGTAGATACATAAATACTTCTTCAGATGTTTATATTTGCTCACATCGTTATCCAGTAAAAACGAAGGTTCAAAACTTTAAGAAAAGCCTTTTACGAAGAATTAATGTTTACTCACTGCAAGTTTTACATAAAAGATTTCATCATTTTTTCAGAGAAACGTCTCAGCATAAGTACGCTAATGTTCACAAATCAGTGTATTTTATTAATTTATGGTTTTAATAACCAAAGCAACCTTAAATCTTATAAATTCTTACATTCGTGTTCCTTGAATAGAAGAATGAAGTAACGTAAAATAAATGTTTCGGTTTCATTTAGATCTGAGAAGCATGATCGCCTTGAAGATTTTTCCATCGCTCATAAAGATTTGGAGTTTGGTGATTGTCTACGCGTGGGAAGACACCGGACCATATACAGGTTAAGGGGTTTGCAGAAAGTAAGAATCATTTCTCTACATAAGTTGTCATAATATAACAAGAAAATTATGATAGTAAGTTGATTGACGAGTAAGGTGATTGACGAGTAATGGATGGGAACTGAAAACAACCGAGTCCCTGTTTCACGACAGGCGTTGGCACGAAAAAGATCCCTCACAGCTCATTGGTCCATAGCATCGAGTAGTGTAAGGTCTAAATCTGAATCCCTTAACCGGCATATGGTGACATCTCAAAATGAATGAAAAACTCTTCAGTTGGACATAAAATAACATTAAAATCATTAAAACAGATACTGGATGCGACGTACATGCATTTTCTAAAAACAACGCGTTATTTAGTTTTAAAGCATACCCCATACCCCAGGGCGGGTAACGTACTTTATATGATTTGAGGTAATCACTATATATAACTCTCTCTCTTTGTATACAGAGTGATTACTAAAATCAAATATAGTATATATATGTTACCGGCCCCTGTGGCATATCCATTCTATGGTAAATTTAATCATTTAGATGTTTCATCTCTTTGTGATAGAGATTTGGAAGTTGTGAATTTGTAAATACAGAAACTATCACAAGGAATTGCCGTTTTCTTTTCATTACTAAAGTCATAACACAGATTGATACATGTATTACCTTTAAACGTGTATAAGAATAAGTAAGCGGAGTAAAGATTAATATATTTTTATGTATCGAAGATATGTAAGAAGATTTTATTCTGTAAGGTTAAGAACATTTTAGAAGAGAGTTAATTAAGCTGTCATTGAGATTAAATCAGAAAAACGAATTTAACTTTTGATAGCCAAATTTTAAGAGCTGTAATTGGAAATACATAAAATCGCTTAAATGTTTCATATGCACAATTACACAATAATAAACAAATATATACTTGCTAAATCATTTTCAATCACCTAAAAAGATTTATATCAATAGAAAAGTGAAAATAAGAATTTTATATTGATGTGTAAAATTAGAACCGGATCCGTAAAAGTGTGGGCCTTCCTTAATAGTGTTAAAATACAAAGAGCTCTAATTGAAAATTCCTAAAATTGATTCTAGTGTTTGACTTTTTTTTTTAAATAAGTAGAAATTTGAATTTTCCGTTCCATTCCATGTGACCGTCACGGTAGCTCAGCCGGTAAACCCGCGCTCCCAATCTCTACCTAGAGTTATCGTTCCACTTATACCTCGAGCTCTGTCAACGTCGTAAAAGTAGGACGGAAAGCGGAGGCACGTGAATTTTTTTTTCAAATATTGTTTAAATTGGCCCACAGAAGGATTAAAACCTTTACTTTTCTATATACATGTATGTGCTAATGCCGTAAGTTGTTTGTCTATAAAAACTAAACCATGTTGATATTTATCGGCAATGATTTTACTGCCAAGAAATTATCCTTTGTAAGATATGTTGAAAAAAGGGATATTTGTGTCAAATTTTCATAAATAAAGTTAAAAGATTTAAGGCAAAAAATATAGAAGTTTTATATTTATAATGGAATAGGTAAAAGAAAGTATTGCCACTAATCTTGGCATTTAGGTTGACAGAGGTGTTGGTAAGAAATTGCGGTGCTCTGTGATCGGAAGCTCGTGAGTTCAAATTTCGGCCACGACTGACATAAGTCCTTAAATAATAGGTAGCAATTGTTCCTTTGCCATTCGTTCTATACTTTGAAGTGGAAGTTGCGAGTCCTTTGGTTGACCTTAAAAACCGGGGTACCGTGTCCCGGCAAGCGTTAGCACGATAAGCATTCCTTAATTACTGTCCAATGGCCATGAGTGCCGAGTAAAGGTTTAAATTTGAAGCCCTTCACAGGTACATATGTTGACGTCTCTTTTTGTGTGAAAAATTTCGAAATGGACGTAAAACAACATAAAATTTACGTCCCATTCGGCACTCAGGGCCATTGAGCAATGAAGGATATATATCGTGCCAACACCTGCCGTGACACGGGGCTTCTATGGAAGGGAATTACCGCCAAAAGTCTATGTATCTTGCTTTTATTCTTATTCTGACTACTTCTTTATGCTTTGTTATTATTGTAATTATATGTCACTTTATTGTTTTCATATTCGTCTTTATTACATTTCACTTTGACTTTTATCCTTCTTCATTTTGCCCTTACTTTTGCTTTATTCTTGTAAATTCATTTTACTTTCTTTTAAATTGATACAGTTTCTTAAATGATTATCTCTATTACGAACGTGAATTCAATCACACAAAGAATGAAGCATATTCAATGAAGACGAATACAAATTGTCAAAATTTAGTGCCGCATTATAACGCTAGGTGGCAGGGGTGTTCGCTACGAGTGTTGGTAAAACTAGGTAAGCAAACCCGGGCCGGGGTTATTCGAGATTTTTCAATTTTCTGCCTTAATTATCAATCGAACTTCTGAACTGATCCAATGATGGAAACTCCATATTTATTTTCTCTGGGCACACAGGAATAGCGGCCTCTTTTTTCAGACATAACTTTATATAATTTACTGAATATGTTCACTGAAGGGCCGACCCACTTTTTGTAAGGGTAAGGGTCAAATAAGGTTAATGTAGTATAGTAGGGAAAAATTTAAATTTGATACTATAGAAGAAGTTGAATCTAACCCAAAACCCACCTCGCCCCCGAAATAGGATTTCAATGGTGTCGGACAAAGTGAAAGTTGGGGCCGGGGTGGGGGTGGGGGTGGGCAAAGTGTAAGAAATTATTTTTAGACCTTCAAAAAAAAAAAACTTGACAAGCCAAAAAAAAAAGAGTTATCCACTGTCCAAACACAAAAATCCTATTTCGTGGAGGGGGGGGGGGAGTTGAACTTCAGTGCCATTTTTTTTTCAAACACCACCACTTTCCCCATTTTAAACCTATACTGCATCGTGTCCATGGAAAGGGGGGGGGCTAAACCTACGCAGCAATGTTCAATGTCTGTACTAAGTCTATCTTTGGAAAGAAAAGTGGGGGCTAAGCCCCCCTCCCCGGTTCCGACGCCTATGTATTTTCAAGTTTGGACAATTTCCTTGTTTGGTTCTTTTTTTGCTTGTCAAGTTGTTTTCAGCCAGGTAGCTTTAATTCATATAAACGATGCTACGTCACTGTTCTCTCGCCTGAAAAAATATAACTCTATTAAAGTTATTTGTTGGATAATTGAATTCTTCCAGTTTAATTGACATAAAAATGTAAAATATTTTGATACTAGTTACCCCTTATAAATTGAGTTGTTTTTCAGGACTTTCCACTGAACTGAACTTTATTTCACGACAAATAGTAACTGCTCATGCGTGTGATTCTAGGGACGGGGCTTTGCAAAGGAGTGAGGAGCGTTATGGGTAGGCGAAGTCGGAACCAGGCTACACCCCAAGCATACTAGAAACTCCCCGGTCTTCTTTTCTGCTATAATATTTTATATTGAAATAGTATTTTTCAATAACGAAAAGAAATATCTTTAGTACGCACCGTATTTTACATCAGCCAGGAGAGCTAAAAAATCTTAAAACTTGAAAATTCTATTTGGTGGTGAAGGGGAGGGGGGGGGATTTCGTCAACTTTTTTCAGTACCAAATATTACTCACTAAGTACATGACTTTTAAAATATAAATTGACTATTAGTGCTGCAACAAAAAGTGTAAGGGATGGGGGCAACAAGCCTTTCGCTGAACTTTGCCAGTAGTAAAAAGTCTGTTACGTTTAGGAAAATGTTTCATGTTCACCCTCCCCTCTACCTGTGCAGGCGGGGATCCAGAAATTTTTTCTAGGGGGGGGGGGGTTTCCACCCTTGTCAAAAAAAAAAAAACCAATCCCATTTCTTGACAAGCAAAAAAAAAAAAAAAAACACAAACAAACAAAAAAACCTAAACTCGCCCAAACTTGAAAATCCTATTTCGGTGGGGGTGGGGTGGGGGGTTGTAGTCTATGACTTCTATTGCCTCAATTCCTTCACTTTTCATTCCCATTTCACACATATTCATGTTTACCGGGGGGGGGGGTTCCAAGGTAATTTTTTTCTTGCTTTAGTATATACATTTCTTAACCTTCTAAATTCCAGGGGGGGGGGGGGGTTCGGGGTGCTGACCGCCGACCCCCCTCTAGATCCGCGCATGCGGTGAAACTTACCCCATAGGAGGTCGTACAGACAGAAGTCAGTATATATACTGAGACTTGGGGGTGTGATTATACATTGTATAACGTCCCTTTAAATTGGAGAATTTTAACTCAAATGGAAAAGCCACCTCTTGTCGGTGGAGAGCTGCAAATTTGTCCTATATACCCGGCACTTATAGCCATTGAGCAGTGAGGGATCTTTTTTCCGGCCAGCACCTACTGCGATACGGGACCTCGGATAATACGGTCTAGATCTCATCCGAAGGACCGAACTCCACGTCCCATAGTGGGACAATGATTCGAACCCACGACGTATTGATCGACTACTTACTACTGTGTTTCGTGACTCTAGAGCAGACGCCGTAACCACAGTGCCACGCGGGCGACTGCACCCCGGCGGGGGGGGGGGGGGGGCTGCGTCCAGGGGGGAGGAAGTCATTATCCATTTGTACTCGTGAAGATTATCTATGTTTAAATAAATGGTTAAAATGATTTAATTATTAACCACTATTAAAATGATATCATTTAAACATTTATTCATATAGGACTGATAACTTTTCTTCAAAAACTGAAAACGTTAGTATATAAACATTGTTTTACAATTAAAAAAAAATATTCGGGGGAGGGGTTGTTATGAAGGGGGGGGGCGAATTGCTATATGCAGCGAGATTTCCCACGGAAGACTAGCTATATATTGAAACTTCCCCGGGGGAAGTCTCACTGTATAGTCTTCCGAAGGAAGCATTACTATGTAGTCAGTATTCCAGGGGAAATATTACCATCTTCCGAGGGAATGGCATGATCGGGTACATACCTGAACTTATAACAAACATCATTTGAAAATTTAAGTTCGATTGATAAAGTATTAAGGCAGAAAATTGAAAAATCTCGAATAACCCCGGCCCGGGTTTGCTTACCTAGTTTTACCAACACTCGTAGCGAACACCCCTGCCACCTAGCGTTATAATGCGGCACTAAATTTTGACAACTTGTATTCGTCTTCATTGAATATGCTTCATTCTTTGTGTGATTGAATTCATGTTTGTAATAGAGATAATCATTTAAGAAACTGTATCAATTTAAAAGAAAGTAAAATGAATTTACAAGAATAAAGCAAAATAGAAGTAAGGGCAAAATGAAGAAGGATAAAAGTCAAAGTGAAATGTAATAAAGACGAATATGAAAACAATAAAGTGACATATAATTACAATAATAACAAAGCATAAAGAGGTAGTCAGAATAAGAATAAAAGCAATATACATAGACTTTTGGCGGTAATTCCCTTCCATAGGCTTCGGTTTTTAAGGTCTCGTCCGAAGGACTGCAACTTTGACTTCAAGTGCCTAGCGCATGGCGAAGGAACAGTTGCTACCCATCTTTTATCGACTTGGTCAGTCGCGGCCGAAATTCGAAGTCAGGACCTCCCGATCACGGAGCTAGCGTTCTACCGACTGAGCTACCGTGGACGATAAAATTAAAATAAATTTAGAACACACTTATAATGAAGTGCAAGGGATTGACTATTTTAAGACGATATCATCCCAACACACTTGTTTTATCAAATGAAGATCATCTTAAGGCTAGGATATGGCAGGAAAAAAAAAGAACAAATTACCTGAAACGAACTCATTTTTAAGCTAATGAACTTACTTTTGTTTAATTTTAATTGTAAATACAGATCTACTGTAGGCCACGAAGGTGTGAAAATCAAAAATAAAATAAAATAAAATAAAATAAATGATGTAGGAACATCGAAGAGTAAATGCATAATCAAAAATCATGTAAATGTCCACTCTTGAAGCCAATTTTGTTTTAAATGCTAGTAGTACCAAAGCAACGGGAAAAAAATTGAAAGGGGTCGCCTCAAACGAAATAATAAGCAACAAAGCCCGCATTCAAAGACAGACCATCATAAATAGCCTACCGAGACAGTCAACATAATGATAAAATGATTTTAATAGTTAGGCTAATGGAGGAGTAGCATCAATTTGTCAAGTAAAAGATAAATCGCTTACAGCATTCTTATAAGACGAAAAATAACAAAAAATAATTACCGAAGATTTTTTTTCAGAGGGCGTTGGCATGGCGATGTTAACATTCACAATTACCATGCTGTTTTCGAAGCTGATGACTTCTGGAATAAAGTCAGAAAGTTGTGCCGTATACGTCATGAAAATTTGGTGCTTTTTATGGGAGCTTGTTTAGAAGAATGTAATTTAGCAATAATACTGAGGTAAATCACGAAGAATGAAAAAGAAATATACACAATATACCTAAGTCTCTTTATTAATTCATTTCTTATTCAGTCACACTTAAACAGGATGATATATGAAAAACGTGTCTATAATATCGTATTTATTTTAGTTGTCAAGGCGGAGTTTCCATGTATGAACATATCCACATCCAGAGGGAAAAAATCTCACCGATCTCAAAGCTTCAATACATTCGTCAGGTGTCATATGGCATGGGATACCTACATTCCCGAGAAATAGTTCATAAACGGTTAACAACCCGAAATATTTTCTTGTGTCCTAATGTCAGAATCAGTGTCGTTGATTATGGGTTGGCTGAAGTGAAGTATGACAGGTATGGATACGGGCTGGCACGTGATCAGATTATGAAATTTGATCACGTGACCAACCCGTATTTATATTTCGATAAACTTTAAAAAATGATAACTATATTTCATAATCAAAATCAATTTTTTATGAAAATAAAGTATGATGTTGACGTTTTCATTGCATTTTACAATAAATAAAAAATAGCATTAAATTTTATTTCTATTCATAGGCCAGGATATGCCTGCTTGCCACGTGGTGATCTGATGTACATTGCACCAGAAGTGCTGTGTTCCATGTGTGTTGTCCCTCCTATGCTTGTTTCAGGTGTACCCTACACATTCGAGACAGATGTGTTTGCGTTTGGGTAAGTTTTAGATTAAAAAAATGTACATTTACTGTCGAGTTCAAAAGTTAATGTACACTATTCATACCGTTCGTTTTCTACTTTTCACTGAGTAGTAAGAGGACTAAAGTATATGTATTTTTTGTAAAAGCTGTTATTTTATCACATATACACGTATAGTGTTTTCAAAGCATATAGCAAAGCTTGCGATATTGCTTTATGGAAATAACCTTTTCTTAATCCATAAATGCCAAATTCAAATATCACCGTTTCTTCATCCATGCAATGAGTATAATAAAATCGGATCTTGCTTCCGTTGATTCTTAATTCCTTCCGACTGTTTTTCCTGGGAAAATGACAAGAGACGTCAATATCTTTTATTTGAGATGCAATTGAAATTTGAAATGTTTTCTTCTGGTCGTCGGTTACAAAAAATATGAAACCCCTGTGTTTTATGATCAAAATAAATGGGAACACCCACACCAATTATGAAACAACGAATGCAAATGTCACATCCTTAAATAATGTTGCAAAATTAAGACGGATTTCTGATTTTCATTTGTAGGACTGTTGTATATGAGTTGCTGACAGGTCATTGTCCATATCAAGGAAAATGTCCAGAGTTTGTTATATGGCAAACATGCAAGGACAAAAAACGAGGAATTCCAAATAAATCTAGCATGAAAATTCTTGAGGTAAAATGTACAATTTCTTAAATGATTATGTGTAAGGGATGCCCATCTTAAATCAAACATCACCTAAACTATGCTGAAGCCACCGAATTCGAAAAGGACATTTCTTATTTTAAATTCTTGTTTAGGTGAGGAATAACTTCGCATTGTCATTGTTTTTTTTTTATCTCGAAACTTTCTGTGAGAAGGAATTTCAAAATACAAGGCTTGTGTCAAAAATAAGAATTTTTTACGACTCTATCATCATATATTGGTTGAGGGGACTTTTTAATATAAAAAAATATTAAGAGTTGATTCTTATTTCTCTTTAACGCATGTGTGTCCATTATTTTAATAAAAGAACTACTATGTTGAGTCAATAATTACAATTTCAGTCAATGGTGTTCAGATCGTAAAAAAAGGCTATCATTCGAGTTCATAAAAGTTCTATTTTTAATGTGATTATGACTGTTTGCGCCAGATTTAATTTAACCATTTATAGTTTCAATCATGTTATGGTATCTTATTCCTTTTGGATTTTTAGGTCACTTGAGTCACTCAGGTTATCCGTTTTCGTCCATAGTCGTTCGGGCAGGTGTCGTGCGTAAACTTTTCACATTTTCAACTTCTTAAGAACCATAGGGCCAATTTCAACCAAATTTATCACAAAGTCTCTATGGGTAAAGGTGATTCAAGTTTGTTCAAATGAAGGGTCACAATTTCTTCAAAGGGAAGATACTTAAGAATTAGTGAAAAATTAATGGCGTCATTAAAAAATCTTCTCAAGAACCACTGGACCAGGTAAGATAAAACTTATATTTGACACACTCTCAGGTAGTGTAGATTCATTTTTGTTCAAATCATGACCCTGGGGGTTGGGCGGGACCATAGTGGCTGATCAAAGTTTTACATAAGAATACATAGGAAAAATATGTAAAAGTCTTTGTTCAAATTATGACCCCGGGGTAGAGCGAGGCAACAATGGCCGGTCAAAGTTTTGCATTGAAATACAAATAAAAAAATCTTTGAATATCTTCTCAAGAACCAATGGGCCAAGAAAGATGAAATTAAAGTGGAATTATCCTTAGGTTGTGTTGATTCAGTTTTGTGGAAATCATCACCCCTGGCGGTAAGGCGGGGGAACAATGGACGATCAAAGTTTTACATAGGAATAATAAAGAAAATCTTTAAAAAGCTCTTTTCCTCAAGAACAGCATAGCCATTATTAGTTATTTATACATGGAAGCATCATCAGGTATAAAAGATTCAAATATGTAGAAATTATGAACCTGAAGAAAAGGGTGGGACCACAATGGACGATAAAAGATGTACATAAGAAAACTTTTTCTCAAGAACAGCAAAGCGTTGATTTGTTTTATTTATACGGAAGCATTCTGGGTAAATTCAAATTTGTTTAAATCATGACCATTTGGGAAAGGAAAGGGACAGTGGGTTATCAAAGTTTTAGTTAAATAAATAAAATAAAGAAAGATCATGAAAACGACTTTTTAAAAACATCAAAGCCACGATTACCTGATACTCATTTTACAGAAACATCTTCAGGAACAATGTACTGAAGATCATTAAATATTTGTTAAACCTTATAAGCTCATATGAGCCGAAGGCTCAAGTGAGCTTTTCTGATCACATTTTGTCCGTAGTCCGTCCGTCCGTCTGTAAACTTTTCACATTTTCAACTTCTTCTCAAGAACCACTGGGCCAATTTTAACTAAACTTGGTACAAAGCATCCTTGGGGGATGGGGAGTTTAAATTGTTAAAATAAAGGACCAAGTCCCCTTCCAAGGGGAGATAATCAAGAAAAGACAAAAATAGGGTGGGGTCATTAAAAATCTTCTTCTCAAGAACCAGTGGGCCAGGAAAGCTGAAACTTATGTGGAAGCATCTTGGGGTAGTGTAGATTCTAAATTGTTAAATTCATGACCCCCGGGGGTAGGGCGGGGCCACAATAGGAAATCCAATTTTTACATAGAAATATAAAGGAAAAATCTTTAAAAATCGTCTTCTCAAGAACCAGTGGGCAAGAAAAGCTGAAACTTATGTGGAAGCATCCTGGGGCAATGAAGAATCTAAATTAAAAGAAAAATTATTATCCCTGAGGGTAGGGTGGGGCCACAATAGGAAATCCAAGTTTTAAATAGAAATATATAGGAAAAATCTTTAAAAATCTTCTTCTCAAGAACCAGTAGGCCAGGAAAGCTGAAATTTAGGTGAAAGCATCCTGGGGTAGTGAAGATTCTAAATTGTAAAAAGCATGACCCCCGGGGGATAGGGCGAGGCCACAATAGGGAATCGAATTTTTACATAGAAATATATAGGGAAAATCTTTAAAAATCTTCTCACGAACCAGTGGACCAGAAAAGCTGAAATAAATGTGGAAGCATCCTGGGGTAGTGTAGAATCTAAATTGTTAAAATCATGACCATCGGGGGTAGGGCGGGGCCACAATAGGGAATCCAAGTTTTATATATAATATATGGATATACATAGGAAAAATCTTTAAAAATCGTCTTCTCAGGAACCATTGGACCAGAATAGCTGAAACTTATGTGAAAGCATTCTGGGGTAGTGTAGATTCTAAATGGTTCAAATCATGACCCCTGGGTGGAAGGGCGGGGCCATAATAGGAAATCCAAATTTAACATAGAAATATACAGGAAAAATCTTCTTCTCAAGAACCAGTGGGCCAGGAAAGCTGAAACTTAGGTGAAAGCATCCTGGGGTAGTGTTGATTCTAACTTATAAAAATTAAGACGGGGTGGGGGGAGGGGGTAAGGGGCCACAATAGATATAGATATAAGAAGGGGAAATCTGGTAAAGAACTGCATCACCAAAGTTACTCGGGTGAGCGATGTGGCCCATGGGCCTCTTGTTTTTTGTGATATATTTAATTACTCTTTATTAGCGAGACAGAATATTCACAAATTGTTATTTCTGTATATAATCTTTAAGAACATGATGTGATCGGTACTAATAACCCGAGAATGAAATTTTTGTCAGCACTATGTCTGGCATACCGTAAATACGCGAATATAAAATTCTCATAAACAAAAAGTGATATACATGTATACAGTAGTGAAGAAGATTATGCAAATCATGACGTCCAGTGGTAGGGAGGGGCCATAATTAAAAATAAAACTAAAAGAAAACAAATCTAAATGGGAGACAGATTGTAACTTAAGAATTGTTGATGAATATTACACTGTTTATTTCTTAATTTATGAATTGTTACTGAATACTAAACGAATTATATCCATGATCCTGATCATCATATTTTTCTTGCTTTTTGGCAACACAGCTTCTTCTATCAGTTCATTTTATACTCTTTGGATTGTAGTTTTATACTCAGGTGACCGTTGAAACCCTTGGACCTCTTGTATTAGTTTATTTGCTGTTGAACATCTCTCTCTCTAGAATATTTCCCTTATATGTAGAAGCAACCACTTGCAGCGTAGGGCTACACCTTACATATACTCGGGAATCAAGGCCATTGAGCAATGAGGGATCTTTTTCGTGCCAACACTTACTGTGATACTTGACCTTAGTTTATACGGTCTCATCCGGAGGACCGGTCTCCAGGTCCCGCTGTTGATTCTAACCTGCAACGTAAGGATCTAATCAGCTCTTTTCTCCGCTACTCTAGAGCAGACGCTCTGACCACTGCACCACGCGGGGGAAACTACTGCGCATATTCTAATTGGTAAAACTCCTAATGTAGCCTACTTATTGAAAAATTAATCAAGTGAAAACAATTATTATCAAATGTTCATTGTAAACCAGATAAGAGAAGGTTAATGTGATCCACAGTTTTTAATATTTATAAGTATTCGTCAATTTTATATTTTTTTTTATTTTTACCTTTCCATCATGCGTCTTCTCTAACTTCAGTAACAGTTTAATTTTGCTTAATAAATATTTTAGGAATACCAAAAACTACTAGTATGTCATTATACATGCTGTATTCTACATAGGAAACCAATATTTTAGTATCATATCCTAATATTTATGGCAAAATTTTAAATGTATTCATTGACACATAATCAATTTTGAGAAATCTAGTGAATGTTATAGTCAATTAATTTGATTATGAAAATTATGTCAAACAATTAAACGACTGACGATTTTCATACAAATTTTTAGCCATAATTGCTGAATTGATTTCTATAAGGATTGTCTTTACATTTTATGTGTATTACGCTCATTTTGCAAAATTGAACTTTATTTATAATGCCGAATATTCGTTTTGCCTAATTTAACTTGGTTGTGAACTAAAAAGCACATTCTGCGAAGATGAACTTTCCAATCATCGTTGAATAACCCAGGGTAGGAACGCATTAATTCACTAAATAACCAGCTCATCAGGGTGCTGATACTTAAAAACAAGAGGCCCATGGGTCACATCGCTCACCTGAGCAGATGGGCTTGTGAAAAAAACAAATCAGCTCAGTATTGAAAAGGTCACTTGTTGGAGGAGGGGGATTTGAATTTTCTATTACTTGAGAATGTAACTATATTAATAAAGCATATAATTATAACTTTGCCATGCTTGAAAAGATGCACAGTTGGACATTATTTGAATAAATTTAATTCTTCACTACTTGCAGATGCGTACATGTCAATTTGACTATACAAAACTTTTCTGTTTTGGAGAAGATTTTTTCCTCTATATTCTTATGCAAAACTTAAATCCTTCATTGTTGCCACACCCTAACCCCAACGGTCATAATTTGAACAATTCCTGAATCTAAACCGCCTGAGGATGCTTCCATTACTTATCATGGATTTTGTGTTCTCCAGAAAATTTTTAGATATTTTAGCATATATTCCTATGTAAAATTTGATCCCACTTTGTGTCCTCACCTTACCCCCAAGAATTCTTATTTGAACAATCTTAAAACTACACTACCTGAGGATGCTTCCATATAAATATCACCAATCATGCTGCTCTTGAAAAGATTTTTCCCATGTATTTCTATGTAAAGCTTTAATTGCCCATTATGGCCCTTCCTACCCCTAGGGGTCATGGTATGATCAAAATTTGAATTTACTCTAACCGAGGATGTCTCCATATTAATATCATCAATCATGGCTTTGCTGATTCTGAGAAGATTTTATTAAAAGATTTTTTCTCCGTATTCCTATGTAAAACTTTGATCAGCCATCGTGGCCCCACCCTACCCTCGACGGTCATAATTTGAACCTTGAATCTACACTACCTGAGGATGCTTCCACATGAGTTTCATCTTTCCTGGCCCAATGGTTCTGGAGAAAAAGATTTTTCCTATATATTCCTAAGTAAAACTTTGAACTACCATTGTGACCCCGCTCTTCCCCCGGGGTTCATGATTTGAACAAACTTAAATCTACACTACCTGAGACTGCTTGCTCATGAGTTTCATCTTTCCTGGCCCAATGGTTCTGGAGAAAATTTAATTTTTTTTTTACAAAAATCCTATATATTCCTATGTAAAACTTGGATCAACCATTGTGGCCCTGCCCTACCCCTAGGGGTCATGATTTGAACAAACTTAAATCTACATTACCTGAGACTGCTTGCTCATGAGTTTCATCTTTCCTGGCCCAAAGGTTCTGGAGAAAAGATATTTTTAAAAACCATACATATTCCTATGTAAAACTTTGATCAACCATTATGGCACCGCCCTACCCCTGGGTTTCATGATTTGAACAAACTTAAATCTACACTACCTGAGGCTGCTTGTACATGAGTTTCATCTTCCTGGCCAATGGTTCTGTAGATTTTTTTTTGAAAAATCCTATATATATTCCTATGTAAAACTTTGATCAGCCACAATCCCAGGATGCTTCCACATGAGTTTCATCTTTCCTGGCCCAGAATTTTCGGAGAAAAAGATTTTAAAATAATTTTCCTATATATTCACATGTAAAACTTGAATCAGCCATTGTGGCCCCGTCCTACCCCCGGGGGTCATGATTTGAACAAACTTGAATCTACACTACCCCAGGATGCTTCCACATGAGTTTCATCTTTCCCTGGCCGAATGGTTCTTGAGAAGATTTTTAAAAGATGCCATTAATATTTCATTAATTCATAATTATCTCCCCTTGGAAGAGGGCTTGACCCTTCATTTGAACAAACTTGAATCCCCTTCACCCAAGGATACTTTCTGGCAAGTTTGGTTGAAATTGGCCCAGTGATTCTTGAGAAGAAGATGAAAATGTGAAAAGTTTACGACAACGACGACAGACAACGGACAAATTTTGATCAGAAAAGATCACTTGAGCATTTGGCTCAGGTGAGCTAAAAAAAATTAAAATGAATATAGCTCTTGATTTAAAAGCTTTTCCATTATACTTGTCATTGAACATGCATTTGAAAAATATTTTCGTACATATGGTCAACGGCATGTGATATCTTATGTGTAAATTAAAACATTTTTCAGACTCTTATACGCAAGTGCTGGGCACACGATCAAGAAAAACGACCTAGTTTTCAAGACATAAGCAAAACTTTGCATAGAAACGTAAGTAAAATTGTACAGCTAAAAAACATGTTTCAAAGTTTTCGTGAATTACATTGTCCCTTACGAATAATTCTAAAGTTGTGAATTTCAACGTTTTTTATGAATTATACTTATTGCAGGCAAATCTTCACAAGCAACATAGTGTTTCGGAGCCCGACATTTCAGTGCGCTCTGGGAAAAATTTACTTGATGGATTTTTGAAATGAAGAGATTTGAGGATTGTACGAATTGGCAATGTACCTAAGGCTATTTGTTATTTGAACTTATGGATGGCATCTATCTACAGTTTTATTATATATATAATATATATATATATTTCATTTCATTGCTTAATTTGAGTAGATTTCCATGTCATTCAAATGTATTGCTATTCCAAAGACAAGGGAGATCGAGTAAGTAAAGAATTAAGAACAAATTTTCCTTCAATAAGTGATATTTTTTTTTATAGATCTGTAACATTTTTTCATAGCAGCATTTTACACAAAAGTTTTATTTTAGGGATTTATTTCATAATGAAATACATCAAATATATCTTTGCTAATATACAAAATAGCCGAATATTTAAAATGAACGGAAGCATGCAGTACGTTTGAACACAAATGCACAGATTCGATATTTACTAACAAAACGTGCACAAAATCAATGTTTTTAGTTTATGTACATATGCATACTACTATACCCTGTTTATATGTCAGACACACAGTCTGTCTGTCATAAAGTGTAGTATAAGTAGTAACGAAAAAATCTTATTTGTACATCAGCATCGGTATACTAGAAATTAGAATAGATTGTGGTACCAAGTGACGGCCATACAGTTACACGTTGTTTTACTTCATGTTTTGCCATTGTGTTTTGTCTAAATATTGGTAATATTATATATTTTCTCTTCTTTATAGTAAAATAAATCTACTATAATTTGGCGCTGCGGCTCTTTTCATGAACTGGTGCGTGATATTTTGGTAACTAATTGTTCGTGAACACGACGGCAGATAGACCATCAGAAAACGGGCAAGTAGAAAGATACAACCCTAATGGGATGCTTTGCGCTGTTTCGTAAGCCGCACTCCAACTCGATGGGATGAATATGTACCATAATTAGCAAGTGCATTAGGATCAGTCAAGAACAGAAGTCCAGGTTTTACAGCTAACATGCTTTATTAGGGAGAGAAGTAAGTATGCCAGTACATTTGATGTTTCCTTGTCCAGAGGCAGAAAATAACAACAATACAGAGCAATATCTAATGATTTTATTGAAAAAGATGCAATCAGTTCATGAAATTGCAAGATCAGACTTGAAATCAACTCAAGCATTAATGAAAAGGGATTATGACTTGAAAACATTTGCACACGCATACAAGATAGGCTATGCAGTGTATGTTTTTGACACGGAAGACATAAGGTGTGGTTGTTAGCTAGGTCCTACGTGGAAATGACCTGTTGTCATCAATCGCGAGTTGTCTGCATGACTATGTTTATAAAATTAAACTTAGGTAGAAGCTTGTCACAATTATTCATGATAGATTTAAATTGTGCAATGATCACGAATTGCCTACCTGGGTTATTAACATGCAGAAAAGTGCAGTGTCTGATGAACATGCCTTGCGTAGCTTGGCATCTACAACCAATTCAGATCAGTACTGTGTATGCCAGTGCGATGAATGTAAGAATTGGTCTGTATAAATTGATTAGGCTAAAGCAACATTGATATTTATTTGTGTCCAAGATCTGATAAATCTGATAAGACTTGTATATAGTTGTGTTCTTTTTTTTATATGTGACTTCGGAACATATCAGCCAAGAATTGTTGTGATGGTTCTTAAATAATTTTATGTTGTATAGTGAATATTTCTGATCAAGGAAAAACAAGAGAAATGGAGCATGATAAAGGTTCAAAACGAGATTGGAGACAAGAAAGGGAGAACTTGAAACGACAGTGATTATCAGTTACATGTACAGTGGACTCTGCGATTTGTGTACGACTGGAAAGAGATCCTTCAATACCAGTGCTCAGAAAAAATGCTGCAGAAGTACAATCAGAGTGTTTGGCTGTTTCCTTAGTCGATACTCAATCAAATGAGGTGCCTAGTTCTGGAGATCCATGCTCAGAGATGAAAACTAAGGTTTCTGAACAATGTAACTATAAAATCAAGTGGTCAAGCTATAAAAGAAGTTCCTACCACTGCATCTGAATCTATGCCTCTCTGTCCATTCCCAACCTCTAAATCCACGGACAAAAAAACTAAGACACATTTATCAGAAACATCTGCTATTTCTTTTTGGAGAAGAAAAGTATGGAGTCAGTGGTTTTGAAAAAGAAGTATCAATCTCTTAAACCGTTGATTAAGGCAAGTTAAGACAGTGGAACATATAATACACTCTAAATCAACAGGTCATCCAAACCTGCCTGTTCAGCTTGTTGGTGGTGTTATCGTCTACACTGAACTTCAGTCATACCCACAAGAAAATTTCTGTGGGTAATTGGGAGATAGCTTATGGCGTGCACCAAAAACATAATCAGTGACCCGACGGTTGATAGATTCCTATTCCTTCAGAGAGCTGCACATTTGCTTGAAGTATCTGCAATTAGAGAAATTGGGCTAGATACGTTTGGATACGACCTATTCCACCGAAGTTATAGCGTCGACAAAATGAAACCTTCCGAAAAGTTCTTGGAATATGCATGCCTTCCAAGCCGGTGATTCTCCAACGTCGTGGCCCCAAAGATGATCGTATTGGTATGGATGTACATTCTCGAGCCCTGAAAATCATGAAATCTGTTTGCCAACCAAATCAGAAGATCTATCTTCATTGCTTTAATGGGGATGCCGAGATTGTGCAGACGTGGATGAAGTAGTTCGTCAACGTATACTTTGGATATACGGCAGCCGTGCAAAACTTCAGCAAGGAACAAATACAAGGACTCAAATCCATATCAACTGAGAAACTTTTATTTGTAAATTCAGGTGACCTATTGCTATCCGTCGTCGTAAGTCAGGCGTGTTAACATTTAAACATTTTCAGCTTCTTCTCTGAAACCACGCAACCACTTTTGGCATATAGCATCTATGGTTCAAGAAAAGCAAAAATTGTAAATTTTATGGACCCTGCCCCCCTTGGACCAGAGGGGTGTGACAAAACCACTAAAATTAATGCAATCTTTAAAAATATTCTTCTTTACACCTGGACATCAAGCAGCCGAACTGTTGGCATTGAGCCCTCTACCAAATATGTGAGATTCATTACCCCAGTGTCAGGGGTTCTGGTATTAGGGCGGGGCTCTGATGAATGCATAGTGAAAATGCATTAATTCTTTGAAAATCTCCTCTGCTCCTGGGTATCATGAAAACAAACTAAATGAATTGTTATAATGATGAAGGTTTCGTCTACCAAATTATGAATTTCATGGCCCCTGGGTCAGGGGTTTTGGTGTTAGGGCGGAGCTTGAATGATTATTCAGTGAAAATGCATAAATTCTTGGAAAATCTTCTCTGCTCCTGGGTATTAAGCCGATGAACTATGTACATAGTCATGATGAGGAAGGTTGCCTTTTTCAATATTGTAAATTTCATGGCTCCTTGGTCGGGTGTTAGGGCGGAACTGTAATGATTATACCGTGATATTAATTCTTTGAAAATCTTCTCTAATCCTGGGTATTAAGCTGATTAACTGTGTACATTGTCATGATGAAGAAGGTTGCCTCTACCAAAATTGCAATTTTCATGGCTCCTAGGTCAGGAGTTCCATTGTTAGGGTGAAAATGCATTCTTTCTTTGAAAATCTTCTTTGCTCCTGGGTATTAAAGCAATGAACTCTGTACATCGGTATGATAAAGAAGGGTGTCTTTTCAAATATTGTTAATTTCATGGCTCCTTGATCAGGGGTTCCGGTGTTAGGGTGGGGCTGTATTGAGTATATAGTGAAAATGCATCAATTCTTAGAAATCTCTTGTTACTGGGTATTATACTGATGATCTAAGTACATACCTACAATGTATTATGTCAGAGCAAGTTAAGGGTACTTCTTCCAGAATTGTGAATTTCAAGGACCTTGAGCAGGGGTGCCTAGGCGGGGCTTGGATGATTATATATTGAAAATGAATTAATGCTTTGAAATCTGCTTTTTGATGGTATTAATCAAACATTAATGATGAGCAAGGGTGCCTACCACGACCCCAAACTGCCCCCTACCTATAAGATTCCTGGATTTGCCACTGCTTGCCTAATCTGAATGTCAAAACTAGTTATTTTTAGCTCTACTGGTCTGAGACCAGAAGAGCTTATGCGATAGTAATGCGTCCGGCGTCCGTCCGTCTGTCTGTCTGTAAACAATTTTTCAAAATGCTACTACTCCTATATTTGGTCTGACTTCAATATAACTTGGCACTTAGGTAGACTATTTTAAGATACAAATTTCTATGCATCGGTTTTTGATTTCGATGAACGGTGTTGCCGTGGTAACTAAAAATAGAAATTTCTGTAAAATTGTTTCAAAATGCTACTCCTCCTACAGTTTTGGTCTGATTTCAATATAACTTGGCACACAAGTAGACTGCACTAAGATACATAATTCTATTTATTGGTTTTTGATTTCGATGAATGGTGTTGCCATGGTTACTAAAAATAGAAATTTCTATGAAATTCTCTCAAAATGCTACTCCTCCTACAGTTTTGGTCTGATTTCATTATAACTTGGCACACAAGTAGACTACACTAAGATACATAATTCTGTGTATAGGTTTTTGATTTCAATGAATGGTGTTGCTGTGGTTACTAAAAATAGGAATTTCTGTGAAATTCTTTCAAAATGCTACTCCTCCAATAGTTTTGGTTTGATTTCAGTATAACTTGACTACACTTAGAACATAAAGAGACTTGTATCAAGGATCATTATTCTTTTTATTGCTGTTGTAAAGTTTCAATTCCCAACTGCTTAAGTACTTTTCTCTTCCTTTGCTATAAGTACAAACCAGTAGAGCTTCAGTCTCGACAGAGACTTCTGGTTGTCTATATACATTCTAGCAGTCTTTGTTCCCCTTCTGCCCATTTGAAGACAATATCTTTTTCTCATATAAAAAAAATTGCACGAAACGTTCAAATGGATCCTCAGGATTTTAGTCTAGTTAGTATGTATTTTATAGACCATCTTATGGACACGTACCAGTTCTAAGGATGTGTAGGATTCATGAATATACATCATATAATAGTTTAGTATAAATTTTTATTCGATATGACATATCGAAAAATTGCAGAAAAAAAACGTTCTGTCATGTCACTGATCATCCTAACCACACTTCCTTTCTTGCCCACCATAACTGAGGCTCCATCAGTACCCATGGCAGCAACCTTGAAACGCCAAAGGGATCCAAATCTTTCATCCATCAAGCCGGAAATAGCTCTGGAAATTCCTTCGGCATCTGCTTTACTTGCATGCTTTAACCTAGCAAAGTATGTTCACACCTGTAGAAAGTAAACTTGTATTTATTTATCAATTCATGAAGATATTTATTAACATAATTTTAGTATATATATATAATATCATTATGACACAGTTCACAGATGCTTTGACGTAGACAATCTATGTTTCCTTAGAGGAAGTATCAATAAATTACTTTCCATGTGCCTTTTCTGTAGCTCTCTACGTACATATATGAAACAAACTTCTGACAATACTTCTCTGTTAAATATGTATTGCCAATCTGCAGACCTTTGGCTTGATCTATCAAACAGAGCGTTGCATAGTCTGTGTACGGTCTACCCGATTTTGCAATAAAATGCGCATTTCTTAATAAAAGGGTGAGTTGGTCAACAGCAGTCTTGTTCATCATTACAAGTGCTTTTAGAAGCAGTTGACTCTGCGAAGGATTCCTATAAGCCATGGCATACATGTAGCAGTCTCAAGAGTATTAGAGATTTTTACAACAA